GTGACAGAATATAGAGGTTTACAGAAGAGGTTTACAGTCACCAGTGTACATATCCTCAGTTTACTTAAATCCCAGACTATGTTCTCGACTGAAGTATACTGGCTGGTTGGTCAGTAAGTTATTGTCTACACTTATCTACCTAGTTGAACCTATCTACCCTCAAGTAGATAGGCTCAACACCAAGCCAAACGTGTGTTAAGGGATCTCATTTATATAAACTATCCTTGTCTCTTGTCTGAAGAAGTACAGAAAGAGCAAAACAATTCCGAAAAATAAATATGACTGTTCATCCTAAACTTTTGGAAAGTGGAAGTGGAAGCGAAGAGAAGCCATCAGCATTAACTGAAGAAGGGTTCTCATCACCATCCTTGATAGCGACACAAATTCGTCAATTAAGTAGACATTCAGCTCTAACCATCTTCCCGATAGGTTCTTTCGGCTCCCTAGTACCCATTACCGTCTTCCTGGTAGGTCTAATACCTCTGGTAGCTCTTACTGCCTACCTTGAGATGGTTTCGGGGCTTAGCGTCCCCGAGGCCCGGTCCTCGACCAGGCCTCCTATCTGGCTACCTGGTTCCTCTTACCGCTTATGGTACTGCATACCGCCCAAGGTCCGGAACTAGAGGGACATAACTAAACTTTCGCCTGGGTTACCTCCAGGCATGTATGCCCTTCATTTCCTGTAGCGACGAGGACGCCTCAGTGTTTTCTCTCGAGCTCTGCTTCTCCCTTCCTCCTTTCGGCACCTTCTTGTCCTTTTATAACCTTGTTCTTGATCTCTTCTTCCCACTTATTACTTCTTTATTTGAACAGTTTGACTACTCGGTGATCAGAATGTTGGATCTCTTTTGGTGGATTCTTGGGTGACCTTCAGTTTTGTATTGTGAAGTTTGGTTCCCACTGAGTGTGTTGGCATCACTGAGAGGAGCTCTGCCAGGCGAGACTCGGGATAGCTAACTGGGCCACCTTAGATATTCCGTCCGTATAGTGTCTGGGCTTAGCAACTCTCTCTCTCTCTCTCTCTCTCTCTCTCTCTCTCTCTCTCTCTCTCTCTCTCTCTCTCTCTCTCTCTCTCTCTCTCTCGGTGCAGACTACTTGCAATCAAACAGGGGATAATGTTGGGCAGACTGCATCTTCCTCGATTGTCAATGACTCCTGTTCGAACAAGAGAAACAGGCTTGGGTGTTGGTTAGAGTAGTAAGTTATCTATATGAGTACCTCTCGGAGAGAGAGAAGTAAATGGATCAGAGTGAGAGAGTAACTATCCGAGTGGAGAGAGGTGAGAGTGGAGAGAGGTGAGAGTGGAGAGAGAGGTGACTGACTGGAGTACCACAAGGGTCAGCACTAGGGTCCATCCTGTTCCTAACCTTCCCATACGCGACTTAACAGAGTAAATAAACTCCTTTATATCAAGGTTGATGATGCATAACTAATGAAACAAGAGCAAAGGAGGGCTGTCATATAGTGCAAAATTAACTAAACACTCATGGTGTGGGCTGATGAATGGGTATTGTACTTGAACCAAGACAAATACAAAGTTATGAGGATATCAAAAACAAAAGCGAAAATACCCCAAATACAGTTCACAATGAATGGTAGACAACATTCCATGTCAGAAAATGAGAAGATTTAGGAGTAAACATAACCTCAAGTCTATGCCAGAAGAAAGCATTAGCATTACGAAAGTATTACGTCGGCAGCATAACTATGCTAACGTCCAAATAGTTTTCAGGAACTTCAACAAATGTGTCTTCTTCATGTTATCTACAAGTTATATTGTAGATTCACTATCCACTATTGCAGCCCCTGGCATGAAGTCCCACCAAAAAAAAAAATCCGAAGATATGCAATGAGGTGATGCATGCATGAGATATGAAACGTTCCTGAAGTGTTGTTTTCAACTGCTCAACAGGGCGGGTAAAAAAAATGAAGCAACTCCCTAAAACCCGTAAAATAGGCAATGACTTTACCGGCCCTACCCACCCGCCGACGTCACCAAGTGGAAGGTGAACTTCTCCCGCTTGTACCTCTGAACGTACAAACTCCCGCTTAATTGTACCTCTGAACGGTACAAGCGGGAGTGGTAGGAGGCTCATACACTTACAACCTCCTTTTGCTAAAGGTTTTCTATTACCAAATTGACTTATATTTTCCAGCATATTTCAACCGGTTGATACCATAAGGAAAAGCGACATTCTATATGGTAGATTTTGAATTTATCAAAGCCTATGATTCTATGCCTCCCGGAAGACTTCAGAAAGTTAGAAGAGCATCCTATTGGGGAGTTGCCCAAATTTGTAGCAGGGCCTTATTGTTTTAAAATCCATGGAGGATTGGTGTAAATGAAGGTTAATTCCGAATGGCAGACTATCCTGGGGCCTCTGTTCTTGATCACATCTATATATATAAACGATTTAGTTTCAGGACTGAACAGCAACATTCTTAAATGAAGATACTAAAAAGCAGAGGGACACTATTCAATGTATTAAACTGTCGCTAGGGGCCGGTCTAGAGAGGCTTTTAAAACGGATGAAAGATTGGAAGAGGCTTATAAAACGGATGAAAGATTGGAAGAGGCTTTTAAAACGGATGAAAGATTGGAAGAGGCTTTTAAAACGGATGAAAGATTGGAAGAGGCTTTTAAAACGGATGAAAGATTGGAAGAGGCTTTTAAAACGGATGAAAGATTGGAAGAGGCTTTTAAAACGGATGAAAGATTGGAAGAGGCTTATAAAACGGATGAAAGATTGGAAGAGGCTTTTAAAACGGATGAAAGATTGGAAGAGGCTTATAAAACGGATGAAAGATTGGAAGAGGCTTTTAAAACGGATGAAAGATTGGAAGAGGCTTTTAAAACGGATGAAAGATTGGAAGAGGCTTTTAAAACGGATGAAAGATTGGAAGAGGCTTATAAAACGGATGAAAGATTGGAAGAGGCTTTTAAAACGGATGAAAGATTGGAAGAGGCTTTTAAAACGGATGAAAGATTGGAAGAGGCTTTTAAAACGGATGAAAGATTGGAAGAGGCTTTTAAAACGGATGAAAGATTGGAAGAGGCTTTTAAAACGGATGAAAGATTGGAAATAGCTGATAAATGTTAATGGAGTTACTAGATACCAGCTGGGTAATGATGAAATGGTAAAATACCGAGATTTATTTATCTATGTCATAAGAGTAAGACATACAAAAGGATGTAAATATACACTGGCAGGTGTAACCGCTTCTCTCACAGTAAATCACGTGACCCAGCCTATCCTCCATTAATGGTAGTACTTGTAGCAATTGTTTGATCAAACGTACGAAGCTGGACTGATATACCCCGAAAGTTCACTTTTTTGTACTATGGAATTAGCCCAAACTGCATTTAAAAATGGAGAGAGCAACTACAGAAACTAACCTAACCTGTCCTGAGCGTACAGAACCAATCGTTGGTGTGTAATATACGCTACCTTAGGTCTAATTTAGTATACATGTGTACTACACTAGGCCTAAGAACAATTTTGTTCTGCCCCCTCTACAAAATGATTAGTACGAAAAGTGAAATTATTGGCTGCAACCGTCCATTTTTTAAGTTACCACAAGTACTAAAAAAAATACCATAAGTACCGTTACCATAAGTACTACAAAAATTTGGGAAGATAATGTGCGAGATGCCAGATAAAAAAAAAAGTGTCATACAGATTCAGAACTAATTCCAGGCATTAAGTAATCATTCCTCACAGCAGCCAGATCACAGTAATTAATGTACTGTATTAATTACAGGCGTTGAGAACCAAAACAGAGTCAGTACGACTAGGCTTTCAATGAAACATTGTATTTGGTTGAAATTCAATCAAATGATTTATTCTAGTGGTATTTGTTTATGGTTCATGTTGAATTATGAATGACAACGTCTACAAATAAAGAATGATACTGGTACAACCCTTCAAACCAGAAAGTAAACTATCTAAAGGATACACATAGCTATTAAAACCCCACAAATATTCATACCGGTATCATCACTCTCAAAATATTCATATAACGGAATCTTCACCCGGGAATATTCATAGTTATCTCCATCCCAAATAGTCATGATACGCCGTCACCCCTAATATTAAAAAAAAAAAGGTATCTGCACGCTTAAAGGGTCATACCATTACTCTTGGTGGACAAATCACTTTGCAGCTCCATAGATTTCTATACTTATGCCCGTGGCATTAGTATGGGTGAAGTATATTGTATGGACTTTCTCCCGTTACGATCATAGTCCTTATTTTACAGTATACGCAAAGTCCGGTAGCGTCACTGATGCCACATACGTCGTAATCTACAAGTTTATTCTACAAATAATTTTCTCTACTCCAATCTCCATGAGTCTAGCGAACATATAATTTGTTTTGGGATCATTTGTCTTTTATACTTTAGTGTATATAGAGTATTTAGTGTTATTTTAATGTTAAGAATAGGAATAGCTGGAACCTCAGTTGGAGGTGTGATGTGATTGGCTGGTGTGGAAACCGAGTTGACAGTTAATAAATATTACCTTTTCCATATGTAATTTCGTATAATTCCGTGTAGTTTTTATTGTTAATTAATTTAAAATTAATTAATTTTATTTTATTTAATCAGAATGCTTACAGCATATCTGATGGCGTTTGTATAACGTCTGACGAGTCTTCAAGCTGCAAAAATATTATTTACAGGTAGTAGTCGCTGGCATCTTATATGGTTTACATATTGATGTTTGCTATTTTTACTATTTACAGCGGGTTTTCATAACACATCGTAATGTTTTGTTGATCATTTATGCAATATATCCAAATATTCTCGACCTTCCTTTGATACCCAAATCATTTCCGCTTCTTTAAAACAATAATCTCGTGTTTTCGGGAACAACTCGACTTATCTGTACGTATGTGTGTGTACGAACGAAGATTTACGGATCACGCAGAGTGCCTGGCACCGACCTGGGCAAGACTATATAAGCTTCCCAACGCTGCAGCTTCCACTTGGTTCTAAACCACGGTTGGGTACACACCTGGTCTTATGCACGTGAGTTACTACCTTCACACACACTGCTCGTGGCTACCACGCTTCTCATCTATCTTACGCTAATTTGACTCAGATATAATTCATATTCAATATAACCGGAAAATAATTCGTATTTCCATATATATATATATATAACGAATATTTCTTAAATGAAAAAGGTGATTATTTGTTCAACAATTCAAGTGAAAAAAAGTCCTGTTAAAATATAGAACTAATTTAAAGCAAGGAATATAAGGGTAGACGGGACACAGAGATGTTAGACTTGTGTTTGAAAGGTGGATAGAAGGGTTAGGTTAATAAGTGACTGAGGCCTATTCATTACACAGCTTTAATGCATGCATGGCATGGAAAACGAGAGAAAATGTAGAAAATGTTGTATTAATGCTGCTGGTAGAAGTTAGTTTACTGTGGACCCCATACTCATCCAGAGAGCGATAGTTTACTGTGGACCCCATACTCATCCTCTGAGCGATAGTTTACTGTGGACCCCATACTCATCCTGTGAGCGATAGTTTACTGTGGACCCCATACTCATCCTGTGAGCGATAGTTTACTGTGGACCCCATACTCATCCTGTGAGTGATAGTTTACTGTGGACCCCATACTCATCCTGTGAGTGATAGTTTACTGTGGACCCCATACTCATCCTGTGAGTGATAGTTTACTGTGGACCCCATACTCATCCTGTGAGTGATAGTTTACTGTGGACCCCATACTCATCCTGTGAGTGATAGTTTACTGTGGACCCCATACTCATCCTGTGAGTGATAGTTTACTGCGGACCCCATACTCATCCTGTGAGTGATAGTTTACTGCGGACCCCATACTCATCCTGTGAGTGATAGTTTACTGCGGACCCCATACTCATCCTGTGAGTGAGTTTACTGTGAACCCCATATTCATCCTGTGAGCGACAGTTTACTGTGGACCCCATACTCATCCTGTGAGAGATAGTTTACTGTAGACCTCATACTCATCCTGTGAGCGATAGTTTACTGTGGACCTCATACTCATCCTGTGAGCGATAGTTTACTGCGGACCCCATACTAATCTTGTGAGCGATAGTTTACTGTGGACCCCATACTAATCTTGTGAGCGATAGTTTACTGTGGACCCCATACTAATCTTGTGAGCGATAGTTTACTGTGGACCCCATACTAATCTTGTGAGCGATAGTTTACTGTGGACCTCATACTCATCCTGTGAGCGATAGTTTACTGCGGACCCCATACTAATCTTGTGAGCGATAGTTTACTGTGGACCCCATACTCATCCTGTGAGCGGATCCCAAAAGTTACCAACGTGACGATTTTCAGTTATACTAGAAAACAATTATTCTGGATTTAATGGTTAACTTTTTTGTTTTAAGACTGTTATATATAATATAGCAACGTTGAATATTGGAACCGAATTATTTAGATATATTTTTATGTATACAGTTTACATTATACTGCTTTCATGTATAGTGACACGGTATTGAGTATTTAAATATATATTTTCTTTACAGGTGACTGGTGTTGACGCCTGATCTTATTAAGACATCTAGGTGAGCACACACACGCGCGCGCACACACACACACACGTACACACAGTCTACTGAGCCTACTGAGCTCAGTAGAAGCACTGAAACAACAGCATAGGTTTCTCAGAAAATATATTACGATCACCAAAACCTCTAAGGACATCACACCAAATATTTCACGCTTGACTCAATGAAATTCGCTTGGGGGGGGTTGTCTATCAATGCTAATATTTATTAAAGTATTTAACGTAGGCCTAACCCGACCAGCCTATGTTCATGCCGTACCCTAAGGCTATTCCCCCGCCCCCCCCCCCAGACAATCTCCTTTGCGTGTGTGTGTGTGTGTGTGTGTGTGTGTGTGTGTGTGTGTGTGTGTGTGTGTGTGTGTGTGTGTGTGTAATTCATTTTCTATTACAATGGAAATAGTGTAATAAATTCTATAATGCTGACTGGTAATGTATTTAAGTGCTGACTCTTGTGGTTTCTCGTGCCAACCATCACAGACCTGTTGGTCTACCCGAGAAGATGAGACTAGCCTTGCTACTCCTAGTCTTGGTGGTGGGGGTCGCCATGGCCGAGGAAGAGGAGAAGCAGCCTAAAGATTTTGGTAAGACCATCTTAAGCGTTTGTTTGTTTGTTAGCGTATCTTAAATATATAACAGATTTTTCCCACTTTTTTGGAAGTTATATAAGATTGGTGCGCGCTAAGCAACTACATTTGTTCAGTGTCGTTAGCCAGTCATTTATGTATCGTTTGTCATTCAATTCGTTTGAATGACAAACGAATGAATGAATGACTGCCCATTTATATCGCTTTCCTGTTGTCAATTATCCAATTATTATTATTATCTTTTCTTTGTGCGTATACAAAAAAAACTTTTAATTTTGTTTCTGCATTTCCTCACTTTACTCTTCTTTCTCGCCTAGTCACCTTTGGTCTTCTGACAGGCGATAGGTTCTAACGATCCTGACAGGCCAGTAATCTTAATTAAAACCTCTCATATGGCCTCGTTACATCTGTTCCTTCAGGAATATCGTTGCTCAAGGCGTTGAAGGAGTTGTTCAGGGAGCCGGCGCACGCCGCCTTCCAGGTGGGCCAGGAAGTGGTCATCATCATCGCTCTCCTCATCTTCATTCGTGAGTACCCGCACGTCTAACGTGTTTTGTTTTGGTTCCGTCATTTGGGAAGCAGAGAAGAAGGTAAGAATGGTGGAGAGTGCAGGTGTATTGGTCCATATGAGGCAGATGTGCTTTATATCATTCCTCAAACTCATATATATATATATATATATATATATATATATATATATATATATATATATATATATATATATATATATATATATATATATATGTCAGTGCTGTATTGATTTATGTTATTTGAAGTGGTGTTTCACTGTAAATGTTAGTATATAATCATTTAATTTCATTAAATGTTAGGTGATTGTTAGGTGATTTTAACGGTAGTTTAGATAATGATCCGTGGATGCTATAACTTTAATTGTAATTATCAATTATTTTTGTTTGTAAACCACATAGTATATATTTCTTATGGACGCTGTGTGTCTTTTTCTCTCCCTTAGTCAACATGCTTGTGGGGATCATAAAGGATTTGGTTCCTGTCTTGCTTCCTATCCTTGAAGGACTTATAGCCGAAGAACCCGCCGAGATGATGCCGTACGCGTCGACCGGCTACGGCGTGGACACCACGTACGGAGGCTACCAGAAGAGATCACTCGATACTCCGCCGTTTATGGACCGTCCGCTGGTACAGCGACTCACTCAACGCGTCTATAATGCTATCGAGAATTTTCAGTACTGATCTTGACAAGTAACAGTCAGGTTCAGGTAAGGATTAGTGGCTCACCTCATCTCAGTTTTCCGTAGGCGAACCTTTTCCTCCTCCCCCTACCTGGTGGGAATTTACGCTTCCAACAGTTCGTCTTCCCTTGTCCGAACCTCGACAAGGAAGAGGCTTCAGGGGTCGCTGGTTCGACTCCCCGCCGTCTCACTCACCATTTGTATCCACACCATTAACGGTCGTAACCCATTAATGAATGACTTGTACATATGACAGACATGCACTTAGGAGACCAAGAAATCAGCTCACAATAAGTCTGGCCCGCACTCGGAACCCTTCGCGTCAATTCTTAACCTTTGACAAAAAACCTGTGAACATATCAAGAGTTTAACGCTTTGACCCCATAACACTATCCCACAGTATTGACCACCCTCGAACCAATCATTGTCATAGCTTAAGCATAATTTCCACACCAAGGCTCAGGTTACTATTAGTCAGTAAAATAGGATACAATAGTTGACTAGTACAACTCCATTTTAATGTCAGTATTTGTTATGGTGGAGATAGACTACAGTGAAATAATCAAAGTGAAAGATGACGAAAGACGTGATCACGGTTAAACACCGTCATTACCTCAACACAACAACGACGTACTCGATCTCAGACAAACCAACGACCTTTACATGACAACGACGTACTCGATCTCAGACAAACTACCGACCTTAACACGACAACGACGTACTCGACCTCAGACAAACGACCGACCTCGACACGACAACGACGTACTCGAACTCAGACAAACCAACGACCTCAACACGATAACGACGGGAACCAACCAGCTAACACCAAACATTTAGCTCTCCTGTCCATGACAATTTACTGTGACCTTCGCAAGAGCCACATTATCTCCATTTGACATATAATACAGACAAAAGGATGAATTTGTTTTGTGAAACTGACAGCTGACGTGCGTGTTACTTATAAAAGCACGTATAAAAACAACTTACAGTAGGACGAAAATTTCTAACAAAAATTTATAATAGTGACTTACAGTAATTTTTGGTTGTTAATTTGATATATCGCGATAGGCTTGTATTTCGAAAACTTTTCTCAGACCGACAATATTCCGGCCCGTCCGCAGGCACAAGTGATTATACTGTGAGAATTTATGAAGACAAATTACATTTTAGACACTGAAGGAGGATTAATTTAGGACGGACACTACATAACGTGACATTTCTAAGACACTGTGAGACATGACAATTTACATATTTTTTTTTAGATGTATACCACAGATCGCAATAATAAATTTTGCGAATGACTTTAGACAATGTGTACCTAAGACTTTAGCAGAGGACACTGATCACCTAAGACTTTGGCAGAGGACATTGACGACTATTAAGACTTGCAAAAGACGTTGCACACCAAAGATTAATGACGATGACTGTTCCACCACGAAGACTATGCTACCTACACGACGCTGTTCGGTTGTTCCACCATTAAGAGTCTACGGCGACTAAGTGACGTTGTTAAAATGTACCATCGTGAAGAGAGGTACCAATGATAGGGCGCTGGACGTTCTCTCTTCGATCTCACCGGCTTCAAGATCGAAGGAAGAACGTTCTGCGTCCTTACGCGTGACCTCCTCCTCCTCCTCCTTACAAGATGACCGATATGACACCTTTAGATTGACATGTTACAATTACTTTGTAAACTATTCCAATTTGTAAACTATTCTAAACAATTCCAATTATATGGAATTGTAATTACACTGTTGGTAACAGAACCACTGTGTTTTGTAGTGTAATTATTTTTTGTTACAATGTAATATTCTGATAATACATGATATTTCAACTTAGGATATTACAAGGGAATATATGTATTTCAGTTTATATTGAAAAACATACTTTTTTTTAGGCTACAAAGTTTGTATTTGGTTTACACGTGTTTTACTGTATTATGTAAAATACATAATACCTTGTGTGTCTGTTAAGACGTTTTGACTACATATGTAGACGACATTATGACCTCTATGACATAATTTGTATAATAGTGCAATGTAATGTTTTTTTGTAAATGGACTGTGTTATTTAATTTATTTATTTATTTAGTTAATAAATACATATAAGATACGCCAATTTATTTATTCATTATTCCCAATTAAAAAAATTAAAATAATTAATTATGTAGGTATCAAAACTCATTGATCGGAAATTAATGATAAAAAAGCGGTTAAATGAAGATACAGCTTCTGTACTATATATATAGACAATATATAATACATATTTTAGTCATAGTAAACAATACAAGTTTCGCTCAACAACTTGTTTATCAAGACTGTAAACAACTTGATAAACACGTAAACAAAACTTGTAAACAAAACTGTGTAACTCGCTTAGCCAAAAAAATGAATAAAAGGAATTCCCTTCCTAGACCCAACAACGTGCCTCTACATCCAGTCCCACTGCGTGCATAACTACAAGAATTTATACAGCACTTGTTAAACTTGTAAAAAGTTGTAAAACTCATCTTCAGAGGATTTCGGGGAGCCTGTGATTATGGGGGGGATCCTTACCGTTTTTTTTGTATTATGGCAATAGGACAATAGGAAGCCTCATGGCTCCGTACTTGATAAAAAAAATCGCCTAACTCGATTTTTGGTTATTCTTATTATTATGTTTAATTTGCTAACGTCAGAGCGACGTTTGGCAACGCAACTGGAGAGATGTTATCTCAAACGTTTTATAACCTCTCTTAACCTTACACAAAATACTCCAAACCAACAGAGTCTAACAGTCTAACCTAACACAGTCTAACCTAACACAGTCTAACCTTACGCAGTCTAACCTAACACAGCCTAACCTAACAGTCTAACCTTACGCAGTCTAACCTAACACAGCCTAACCTAACAGTCTAACCTTAACACAGTCTAACCTAACACAGTCTAACCTAACACAGCCTAACCTAACAGTCTAACCTTAACACAGTCTAACCTAACACAGTCTAACCTAACACAGCCTAATCTAACAGTCTAACCTTAACACAGTCTAACCTAACAGTCTAACCTAACACAGCCTAAAAATGAAACGACGTTTGACGACTCGTCCTGTGTTGGGCTTGAGCACACCCTGACGACCCCATTCTCCCAAGCCCAGGTTAATATCCGTAGCGGTATATCTGAGGGGGGAAAGGCCGGGGGGGAGGGGTGCATATACGCCCGCATACATAAACATGTTTTGTAGCTGCGTGTGTGCGCACATACCGATCGATGGTCGAGGTGGTTGGGCATCGTTCCAACACCCGGATCGTTTATACTGCCAGCTCCTCGTCCTCATATCCCTTCCATGTGGTATATAGTCATGTTGGCTTTCTCTAGGTAATTGCCTCGCTTCACCTTGGTGTGCTTAGAGGGAGTCGAGCACTGGCGACTATCTAACACTTTGCCATCATTATAATTCAATGCCTATTTTCACTTTTTATTAATTTACAATTAAAGTGGTGTTTTAAGTTAGCTTCATCCTCTTCTTTGTCTAGAGTTCGTGTGTGTGTGTGTGTGTGTAGTCATCTAGTTGTACTCATCTAGTTGTGCTTGCGGGGGTTAAGTTCTGGCTCTTTGGTCCCGTCTCTCAACTGTCAGTCAACTGATGTACATATTCCTGAGCCTACTTGACTCAATCATATCTACATTTGAAACTGTGTATGGAGTCAGCCTCCACCACATCACTGCCTAATGCATTCCACTGGTTAACTACTCTGACACTGAGAAAGTTCTTTCTAACGTCTCTGTGCCTCATTTGGGTAGTCGGTCTCCACCTGTGTCCCCTTGTTCGAGTACCACCAGTGTTAAAAAGTTTATCCTTATCTACCCTGTCAATTCCTCTAAGAATTTTGTAGGTAGTAATCATGTCTCCCCTTACTCTTCTGTCTTCCAATGTCGTGAGGTGCATCTCACGCAGCCTTTCCTCGTAACTCATACCTCATAGTTCTGAGACTAGCTAAGTGGCATACCTCTGAACCTTTTCCAGCTTCGTCTTGAGCTTGACAAGGTACGGCTCCATGCTGGGGCCGCATACTCCAGGATTGGTCATACATATGCTGTGTACAAGGTTCTGAATGATTCCTTACACAGGTTCCTGAAGGCTGTTCTGATGTTAGCCGGCCTCGCGTATGCCGCAGATGTAATTCTTTTTATGTGGGCTTCAGGAGACAGGTTTGGTGTGATATCAACTCCTAGATCTTTCTCTCTGTCCGTTTCATGAAGGACTTCGTCTCCCATTCTGTATCCTATGTCTGGCCTCCTGTCTCCACCGCCTAGTTTCATGACCTTGCATTTACTCGGGTTGGACTTTAGTAGCTATTTGTTGGACCATTCATTCAGTCTGTCTAGGTCATCTTGTTGCCTCCTATTATCCTCTGTTTTAATCCTCCTCATAATTTTTGCATTATCAGCAAACAGTGAGAGGAATGATTCTATACCATCTGGGAGATCATTTACATATATCAGAAACAGTATAGTCCAAGGAATGAACCCTGCGGGACTCCATTGGTGACGTCTCGCCAATCTGAGGCCTCACCCCTCACAGTGACTCGCTGTCTTCTGTTGCTTAGGTACTCCCTTATCCAATGAAGTACCTTCCCTTTCACCCCTGCCTGCATCTCCAGCTTTTTCACTAGCTTCTTATGTGGTACTGTGTCAAAGGCTTTCTGGCAATCCAAAAATATGCACTCTGCCCACCCCTCTCTTTCTTGCCTGATTTTTGTTGCCTGGTCGTAGAATTCAATTAATCCTGTGGGGCAGGACTTGCCATCATTGAACCCATGTTGATGCTGTGTTACAAAGTTCTTTCGCTCCAGATGTTCCACTAGCTTTTTCGCACAATTTTCTCCATTAGCTTACATGGTATGCAGGTTAGGGACACTGGCCTGTAGTTCAGTGCCTCCTGTCTATCCCCCTTCTTGTATATCGGGACTACATTAGCCGTTTTCCAAATTTTTGGCAATTCCCCTGTTACCAGTGATTTGTTATACACTATGGAAAGTGGCAGGCACAGTGCTTCTGCTCCTGTAGTATCCAAGGAGAGAAAATAACATGATGTTTAACAGTGATAAATTCCAGGTACTCAGGTACGGTAAAAATGAGGACCTTAAACATAATACAGAGTACAAAACACAATCAAATGTACCCATAGTAGGAAAACAGCATGTAAAGGATTTGGGAATAATAATGTCTGACGACCTAACGTTTAAGGAGCATAACCAAGCAAATATTGCGACAGCCAGAAAAATGATAGGATGGATTACGAGAACTTTCAAATCCAGAGATCCCATCACAATGGTTGTACTCTTCAAGTCACTTGTGTTGTCCCGTCTTGAGTACTGCTCAGTACTCACTTCCCCCTTCAGAGCAGGAGAGATTGCTGAAATAGAGGGAATACAGAGAACATATACGGCACGCATAGACGCAATAAAGCACCTAAATTATTGGGATCGTCTCAAAGCCCTCCAAATGTACTCACTAGAAAGAAGACGAGAGAGATATCAAATAATATACACCTGGAAGATACTGGAGGGCCAAGTACCAAATCTACACAGTAAAATAACAACGTACTGGAGTAAACGATATGGAAGAAAATGTAGAATAGAACCAGTGAAGAGCAGAGGTGCCATAGGCACAATCAGAGAACACTGTATAAACATCAGAGGTCCGCGGTTGTTCAACGTCCTCCCAGCAAGCATAAGAAATATTGCCGGAACAACCGTGGACATTTTCAAGAGGAAACTAGATTTATTCCTCCAAGGAATGCCGGACCAACCGGGCTGTGGTGGGTATGTGGGCCTGCGGGCCGCTGCAAGCAACAGCCTGGTGGACCAAACTCTCACAAGTCAAGCCTGGCCTCGGGCCGGGCTTGGGGAGTAGAAGAACTCCCAGAACCCCATCAACCAGGTAACCAGGTATTGTATCTGGGCCTATAGCCTTTGTCACATCCAACTCTAGCAAAAGCTTCCTTAGATCCTCACTGGTAATCTCAAACTCTTCTAGTGGTTCCTGTGTGTACTCACCTAATCACCTAATTGTACTCACCTAATTGTGCTTGCGGGGATTGAGCTTTGGCTCTTTGGTCCCGCCTCTCAACCGTCAATCAACAGGTGTACAGATTCCTGAGCCTACTGGGCTCTATCATATCTACATTTGAAACTGTGTATGGAGTCAGCCTCCACCACATCACTTCCTAGTGCATTCCATTTACTAACTACTCTGACACTGAAAAAGTTCTTTCTAATGTCTCTGTGGCTCATTTGGGTACTCAGCTTCCACCTGTGTCCCCTTGTTCGCGTCCCTCCAGTGTTGAATAGTTCATCCTTGTTTACCCGGTCGATTCCCCTGAGGATTTTGTAGGTTGTGATCATGTCGCTCTTACTCTTCTGTCTTCCAGTGTCGTAAGGTGCATTTCCCGCAGCCTTTCCTCATAACTCATGCCTCTTAGTTCTGGGACTAGTCTAGTAGCATACCTTTGGACTTTTTCCAGCTTCGTCTTGTGCTTGACAAGGTACGGGCTCCATGCTGGGGCCGCATACTCCAGGATTGGTCTTACATATGTGGTGTACAAGATTCTGAATGATTCCTTACACAGGTTCCTGAACGCCGTTCTGATGTTAGCCAGCCTCGCATATGCCGCAGACGTTATTCTCTTTATGTGGGCTTCAGGGGACAGGTTTGGTGTGATATCAACTCCTAGATCTTTCTCTCTGTCTGTTTCATTAAGTACTTCATCTCCTATTCTGTATCCTGTGTCTAGCCTCTTGTTTCCACTGCCTAGTTTCATTCCTTTGCATTTACTCGGGTTGAACTTCAACAGCCATTTGTTGGACCATTCACTCAGTCTATCTAGGTCATCTTGTAGCCTCCTACTATCATCCTCTGTTTCAATCCTACTCATAATTTTTGCAATGTCGGCAAACATTGAGAGGAACGAATCTATACCCTCTGGGAGATCATTTACATATACCAGGAACAGTATAGGTCCAAGGACTGACCACTGCGGGACTCCACTTTTAACGTCTCGCCAATCTGAGACCTCACCCCCCCCCCCTGTGTGTGTGTGTGTGTGTGTGTGTGTGTGTGTGTGTGTGT